TTTTCCGATTCTTGTTTTTTGTAAAGTATAATTTTTACTTTTGTTTTCTTCAGTAGCCTAATCAATGGTTTATAAACTAATTTCCAAAGTCCAGCTATCATAGGCTTGGAAAAATTTTTATGAAAAATAAAAAGAAAAAAAGAAAATTTATTAGTTAATAAAACAAAAAAAAAATCTAATAATCGATAAAAATAAAAAAGAAATCAGAAATCACCTAAGAGAGCAATAACTTGTGGAAATGTTCAGTTCGTTCTCAATTGAACCTCAACTTCAAACCATTGGGAACATTGTTCATTCCTTTAATTTTTTGTCAGTTGTTTATATCAATAGCTTGTTGATGTTACTGTTGTGAAAAAGAAATTAATGAAAGAGAAAGAGGGAAAGGAATTATGGGAAAGAAGGACAAGAATGTAAACTTTTTTTTAAAGATTATCATTGAACTGCGCCTATCAGTTTCATTATATCACGTGATACACGTGACATTAATTTTATGTAGGATGCGATGGACGCGTTAAAGCCGTTAAACTATTTTAACTATTTTTAATCAATTTTTTTTTAATTTCTTTGCATTTTTTCTTTTATACTCTTCAAAATAATAAACAGACAAATTAGTTATTATTTCTTGCAAAACAACTTATTGTATTAAAAAATTCCAGCAAACTTTTTATATCTATCCATTATTCTATTGACTCTATTGTTAAAAAAAATCTCAAAATATATTTATACCAATCTATTATTAAAAAAATTCCAAAAAAATTTTTATATCTATTCATTATACTATACCAATCTAATATAAAAAAAAATCCTAGAAAAATTTATATTCTGGGTTTTTTAGTATAATTGACTTGAAATTATCAGAGTTCATAAGCTTTCTCACCAGCTGGCAAAGTGTATGAAATTTCTTTTAATTCATAAAGAAAGCCTTGCTAAAGTCATCTTTAGTGTAGGTCCAGTAATACATTGCCTTAATTGAGCGTGGCTACGAAGTTTATGATTTATCTCTGCTATTTTTGTTATTTTGCAATGATATAAAACTTTGTTTAAGTAATAGCAAAATTTAAGTAGATGGCTTGTCGCAAATTAAATATCATATTTCAAGTAAATTTCAAGCTATAATATGTGTAATATACATTGATATTAAATTTAATTAAAATTTATTCAGAATTTATACATTATAAATTAGCGAATTAATTTTAAAATCATAAAATTTACAATAAATTTTACTGTTTCAATCTATAAATTAAATTTGATGGAGATTTCCTAATCGTAATTGAGATCACCAAATTTATAAGCTATTTATGGGCAATAAACTTCATGCAAATCATCCCACTTCGACCAGTGCTTCTTGTTCTTCTGTTATTTCACAAATTAGAAAAGATGATATTATTAAAAATAGAAACGAAAGTATTAAATGGCAAATAATTATTAAAATAATTACTTTACCTTCTGTTGCATTTTTTGGTTCAGGTAGATTTTCAAAACTATGAATTTTACTTGCAAATATTTTACTACTCATAATACTGCTTGTTTTTTTGTCTACTTGTATTATTGTTTGAGGTAGTTCATCAGGTTTATTTCGATAATATGACATAATTTCATTCATCTTATTACAAAGTGTGTTAATATCAGGCCTTTTTAATGGATTAGCATCCCAACATTATTCCATTAGACTTTTAAATTCGGAAGGAATTTCTGATATAATTTTTGGTCTTATACCATCAATGATATTAATTGCAAAAATACAATCATGTTCATAATTCATAAATGGAGGCTGTCCAAATGAAATTTCCCACATAAGCATTGCAATACTATAAATATCAGATTTAAAAGTATAGCCTTTTCCATTAATAACTTCAGGAGCTATGTAAGGAAGATTTCCATAAATGCTTGTTGATGATCTATTTGCAGGACCACAAAATCCAAGATCACTAATACGCCAGGAATTATTAAACTGTGAATATAATATATTTCCAGAATGCAAATCTCTATGAATTGAATTTTCTTCATGAATATTATAAAGTGCATTAATTATTAAAAAAGTAATTTTAATTCTTTCATTCCATATAAGTTGATTATGATTTTGTTGTAAATATTCTCTTAAATTTACATCACATTTCCTTATAACAAGCATATAATTTCCATTTGATGGATTTTGTGTTAAACCAAAACATTGAACAATCTCAGCATATTTGTTACTTATTGTTAAATGTGATTTAGCCTATATATAAAGGATGATTTTAAATTTTAGTTTCTTATAAATAGAGAAAATATCAAATTTTTTTAGATTACAAACCTCTTCAAACCAACTTTGACTTGCATTTTCAACATTTTCTAATTGTTTAAGTATTACTTTAATTGTTCCAAATCTTATTAATTTTCGTTCTTTAGAATCCCATTCTTCATATCTTCCATAAATCCAATCTGCTATATAAATTTTAGAGAAACCGCCTCTTGTTAGATATTCAATATTTTGTAAATTATTATATGGGATCCATTCAATAATAACATTTGGTCTAAGTGTTTCCATTTGACAATTTTTTATTAAATTATCAATATCATTATTTCCAGATGTCCAATTTGATAAATTAACTTTTAAATAATTTTGAACACAAAATTCACAATATAATGTAGCTAAACATTTTTGGTTACAATTTTCACAAACTCTTCTTGTCCCTGAATTATACTTAATTTTATCTCGATCATAATCTCTATTATTTAATCTTATTGCTTCAGTTTTTTCCTCTTCTGTAAGAGAATTATCAGCAAGAAGTATTTGTTTCCTAAATTCATAATCTTCATGAAAGTTATTGATCATGCTATAGTCAAGAGATGTAAATGCTCTATTAAGTGCTGCACTTATTAGTTCTCTTCGAATAGTGGACATAATTATTATGAAGTGTGTTTAATAATTTGTAAACAATCGAAAAAATGGTGTAACCGCTAAACCCGCTGATTGACCTTTTATTATGTGACAGTTGTGATACCACATTAACTATTACACAAATAATGAAATGCTACAAATAAAAAAATTTTTTTTAGACAAACAGGCAAACGCCATTATTAATTTAGTAATTGTACAATATAAACTTCGTACAAAAAAAATATTGTTTCGAAACTGATTATCATCTCATCTGACATTTCTTATTTTCGTACAAATTATAGAAATTATGAAGGAATTAATAGCTGTTATAGCCTAATATGGGTAATGAAAAAAAATTAAAAAAATTTGAGGATTTAATTATTTGAGAAAAATTTTACTTAACTGTGAAGCGTATTTTAAAATAAAAGAATTAGAAATTCTTTTTTTTTTTTATCAAACCTTCATACAATATATACTAACATAATAATTAACTACAATATTTTGAAATTATTTATTGAAGTTGTTATTGAATAAAAGTCTCATGAAGTATTTATTGTAATAATCAAATTTTATTTAAAAGTTAACATTACGATTTTTTTTTTCATTTTTTATCAATAACAGATAAATAATTTTCGATGAAAATAGCTGTTATAACGGTTTTACTTATAATTTAGGCTTATATTGATTTATAATGAATTAATATAGTACATTTGATTTTACCAACCATTGAAATTTATTGATGATGATATTATTACGTTGAAAATAAATTTACAGATTTATATGTAATAATTTTTTATAAAAAATAAAGCATTTTACAATGAAAAATGTCAAATGTTAAATGTCATTACAAAAAAAAATAAGGAAATTTTCGTTAAACTAACTTAGTATAATTCAAATTCTGAATGTTTCTAAATTCATTAAAAATTTAAACCACTTAATTGGTGAAAACTCCCTTGGTTAATTAAGTGCTGAAATTATCATGCACAGTAAATATTATTGTACATTATAGTGTGTCAATACAAATTATTTAGAGTTTAAATTTTACAAATATTTAAAAGTTAAATTGGTAAAAACATTATTTTGGTACTCTCACACCTGACCTGCTGAGCATCATCTCTTAATGTTCAAGACATGTCGTTTGCGTTATATAATGTAATCCATTGGTTTAAAATTGTTTTCAATCTCTTTTACTCATCTTAAATTTCCCTTGCTTCGTTAGTCTATCCCAATTAAAATAAATACAGTATAATCTAATTAGATAAAAGATTAACGATACATTTCAAACATTGCCTTTAAGAACCAAATATTTTTCCGTTGTGTTAATTAGCCTGTCATACAATTTCTCATAAACTTGTGAGCCATTATCTTCAAGTAAATTATCACCTTCAAAGATTTTGGGTCTTTTATAAATATATACACAAGATAGATTTTTGAAAATTAACAAATTTTAATTTTTAAATTTATCACAATTTTAGAATAGATCGGTTAGTTATAGAGGGTAATATATTTTATATTATTTTCTAGGTGTTTGTATAATCAGATATGAGCATAATTAATAAACGCGTTACTAATTTTTTTTTTAAAAAAAGGTCTTTTATAAATATTCTAAATTATTTATTGGAATTAGTAAAATATTAAGAAAATGATACTGAATAGCTACACCTCCTTTTCTTGTATGAAGCATAAAAACCAGAATTTTATAGGACTTCTCCAAAAGCCATCTTTTTTGCAGAAAAAAAGTTCAACTAACCAATAATGCATAGCTTTTGCCCAATATTGATATTCAGTATTTCACGCGGAAGTAGATCATGTACAATGATAATTTTTCTTTCTTTTAAAAAATAAAATTATTGTTACTTCTTTTAATATAAATGAAACATTGTATTTTTTCTTAACTGTTAATTACTTTTTGACGAATATTTATTTCTTTTTAAAGTTTAAAGAAAAAACGGAAAACCAACAAAAATGTTTTGAAGTTGAGTGCGGACGCCGGACAGGCCAAATATATAGATCACGTGTAGTGGGATCTACAAATATTTGTCTGTTGTGTTCAATATCGGAATTACTAACTCCGAAAATTATATAACTTTGTTTGAAAATTTTAAAACAGAAACATTCTCTCCTTTTCCTCTTATTCACTATGGCATGTTCAAAAATATTTTCAGGAGATCTACCTGAATTAACAAATGAAATTATACAATATTTTCGGAATGACTTTTCGGCATTACATTCATGTATTTTAGTTAATAGATTATGGTGTCGTTTGGCAATTCCATTATTGTGGGAGAATCCATTTTCAAAGAATTTACCTAAAAATTACCACTTTATTGAAATTTACTTACATAAAATAAGTGAAAATGACAAAATAAAATTAAATGAATATTGTATTAGTACTTATTCATTATTTCCTTCAAATACACTATTTAATTATCCTAGTTTTATTAAATGTTTAGATACATATAATGTATGCAACTATATTGAATCATGGGCTGCAAATAAAATAGATTCAAACTTTGTGAGATTTTTAAATCTTATTTTCTTAGCATTAATCAAAATATTTATTGAAAATGAAGTTAATTTACATACTTTTGAATTCGACGATCGTACTTTAAATAAAATAAATAGTGATTGCTTTAATTCTACCATTCAATTAATCCTACAAAATCCAAATTTTGTTTGTAATATTAAAAACCTAAAAATTTATTTACTTTGTTATAATTATTATGATAATGTAACATCACTTATAAAATGTTTATATATTAGTTGCACTTCAATTTCATCACTTTATATTGATTCATTAAGAAATCCTGTTGAAAAAGATATATCCAAACTGATCGATTTACAACAAAATCTCAAAAAGATTTTTTTTTATTTTAATGGTTACTATTTAAATAATGTAGAATTTTTTAATTGTTCAAATACTTTAAAAACAATTATATTTTCTGCAAATCGGTTATCGAGGTTTAATTTTAATGAAATGTTTGAAAAACTAAATGTTTTAGAATCTATTCATATTCTTTATTATTGTTCTTTAGATTCTACTTTTATTCAGCAAGTTATTAATCTAACTAAACCATTTAAATTGAAATCTTTGTTTATATATGATAATTCTTTATTACAAATTGAATTATTAAAATTATTGTTACAAAAGTCTGGTAATTACTTAGAAAATGTTGGAATTAACTCAATAGATAATAAGTTACAATTATATGAATTATTCAAAATTTATTGTAACAATATCAAATTTTTAAGTATATTTGGTTTGAAAGAAGATCTAAATATTTATTTAGTATTGGATTTAATTAAAAATATTCAACAAAATCTTAATTATCTTCATTTACAATTAATCATAAATTCTAAACTTATATTAGAAAATTTAGGACAAATTCTTCCTTATAGATTAGAATATTTAAGATTAGAGCTTAAATACAATATAAATGATTTGGAAGTTTTTTTTAAAAATTCACAAAATATTTTTATTAAGAAATTATTAATCAAAAATCTGAAATATCTAAATAGTGAAGAAATGTTATTACCTTGTATTAAAAAATACGTTATGAAAGAAAAAAGGGTTACATATTTAGCTATCGATAATATTTTGAATAATAAGAATTGTAAAGGTCTGTTTGATTTAAAAAATGAAGTAAAAGAATTTAAATTTCATGGTATTCAAGTTAAAGATTATAATGACTTATGTATTAAAGTTGATGATTTTATAAGTGAAATGTATTAATTATGAATTTTTATGATTTGCAAATAAAATATTATATTTTTATTATTATGAATAAATGAAATTATTTGAAATGATGCAATGTAAATTGTAAAAAGAAATTTTAATACAGTATATTTTTGAATATTACTATTGATAAGTAGTATGTAATAAATAAAGTAGCAAACTTAATATTCCTTGTAAATGATAATTTGTGAGCATTTGCATTCTAATAATTTATAAATTTGAAAGAAACATTATTACTTATTTGCAAAGTTTTAAAAGACAACATTAACAATTGTCCTTAAATGGAAATTCAAAGTAATGTTATATATATATAAATCCTTAGAATTATTTAATTTAAGAATTAAATATTATGTCTGGTTCCAATAACACGATTTAAGCGTCCTTTGATGTGGCTTTCATATTGCTTGTTAGTTAAAAACACAATGGCATTTTAATATTGTTCTATACGCACTGGGCAGCAGAGATATGAGCGAAATCTTTGTCAGTTATGAAAAAACCTAATTCAAGACACGCATCTTTATTAATTGAATCAGAAAGTCATTATAATTACGGTCTATATACCATTGCCACAAATTTTTATTGTTTCAATTAATCAATAGTCTAGCAAAACTCTTATATTTGAACTTTGAATTGTTGATATTATTAAGTTTATAAAAAATAAAAAAAAATTAATAAATATATTAAAAAATGTAATACTTTATAAATAAGTATGTTAATTTAAGTGTTAATTTTTTTTATATAAATAGGTATGAAATTTTTAATAAATAGGTGTACTAAGTAAATATAATATTTCATAAAATATTTGGCACTAAAAAATGTACTAGTATTCTAGTAGATACAATTTAATAGATGCATTTTAAATAATCATATTTCTAATCTCACGAATTTTGAACTGAGTTTGACAGTGTATTCCATAGCTTAGTTAAAATCCAAGAAATCTTTGGATTTCTTTTTGAAATATAATTTAATAGGACTTCTCCAAAAGCCACCTTTTTACTAAAAAAAAAAGAATCTTCATCATGCTTGTTCCATGTTCTTTCAAATTCAACTCACCAATAATGCATTAACTTTTGCCTAATATCGTTATTTATTTAGGCCATAATCAACAAGACTTTTATATATTTCACGCGGTAGATCAATATTATTTTTTGACAGTTGTTGGAATTGCAGCATTTTGTTGAATGTACAAAGAAAATTTAAGTATTCTTTGTTGTTTAAAAATAAAATTATTACTGCTTCTTTTAATATAAATGAGAACATTATATTATTCCTTAACTGTTAATTACTACTTTTTTACGAATATTTATTTCTTATTAAAGTTTAAGTGGAGCAGAAAATAACAAAAGAACAAAACCATATAAAAAATTTCTATCCGAATATTTCCATTATACTTCTCCGCTAATTAATTACGTCATATTTCGGCAAACGGACCAATTCACTATTTATTATAAAATTACTATAAATTAATTACGTCTGTCAAAATACATTACGTCTGTCAAAATAAATTTAATTAGTATTTTGTCATTTTGACGAAAAGTATAATTTCCATTATTTCTCTGTAATTTCAATAAAAATTTCGTGAAAATGATACATTCACGGAAAAAAGCATGGAATGATAACACGGACCAATATTTTTTACAAGGAAAAGGGGTTTGAAGCTGAGGACGCGTGATTATAGATAGGGATGGAAAAACTTCCAAATTGAGTGACTCAAGTCGGTTTTGGAGGAACCATTTTTGAGCCGAGCCGAGCAGCTCAAGTGGAACGAACGGAGAGTCGACGCTGAACTCAGAAAGTCAGTTTAGCTAAACCTGATCACGTGACGTTACATATTTCCAAAAAAAAAAAAGGGAATGATCATATAATTCCGGCCGGAATTATGAATGTCAGAACGGTCTGACTCGTACTGGTTCGTGGAACCAATGTCTATTTTATTTTATTTTATTTTATGGCTAGCCAGGAGGACTACATTGAAGATCATAAATTAACAAAGTAAAAAAATGAGGTACAATATAGAACTTCACCTAGACTTACAAAGACAGGTCCTAACTAGTATTAAAAAAGGGAGCTGTTTAGAGAAAACCCGACTCTAAACAGAAACAACCTAATTAAAAAAAAAGATCCGTATTTTTCTTTCGACATAAGTCGCCACTTGTAAATACTGTCAGAAGTGGAATGGTTCACACTATTCTAATTGTTTAAAAAATAAGTATCCTATAGGTATAATAACCAAACTAGAAATAGATAAAACTATATAAAAAAATATATGAAAAAAAAAAAGAAAATATATATGACTCCTAAAAAAAGAAAAAAATATAAAATATATAAAACTAATAAAGAAACCAATTTGTAACTATTTAACGGAACCTGCCACCGTGGAGTCAAAGACGGATAAAGAATCTTGACGGGATGGTTTTCGATAAATGAGATCATAGGGATCACGATTGTGATCTACGTCACGTTTGTTAGGGCGTGACTCTATTAATTTGCTGTCATCGAAAGTGTAAGGAGAATGTATATCTGCATATACTGAGCTGCGAGGTTCATTTGTATATCAATGTGAACGTAAAAGAGAATGATTATAATTCACTCCAAAATTACTCATAGAACTTTTGTGACTATAGAGAATCCCTGACGACTGAGGACGTGTTTTATGATAATAAAGGTGAGCGTCTCGTTTGCGAGATTGATCACTATGAAATAACTTGTAAGTTTGTTTGAAAGACCAGTGCGCCAAGGCAAATATTTCGGAGTCGTGCCATGGTATAAGGCTTGTTGTACGTTCTTTAATCGTTGCGCTTCATCGTGAGCTTGAATGATTGCATCTTGCTCTTTTTTGAGTCTTTCGCGTTCATTATCTTCCAACAGTCTTCTGAGATCGACATGTTTTTCGTAAACTATAGCTTCTATAGCTATCGCACGATCTTCTTGAGACATATTCTTTTCTAAATTGTACATAAAGGTGAACCATTCTTGTGACCCGGGAGTAATAAAAGAGTCGTTATCGTCAAATAATGGATTAGGCGGGATGATGTTTCGATATTTATGAGGAATAAATATATCTGGCACTGGACAGTATGGAGAAACTGTATGAACTACTAAGTCATCTTTTGTAGGTTCAATAATCATAGCCATATCAACCACTGATTCTAATAAATTATCGATACCAACCTCAGGCTGAGGTAAAGGTGCCATAAAGCCATGAGGAATATTGAATGGATAGTCTTCAATAAGAGGAGCAATACGAGCTTTTTTGTAGAGAGGTGACCAATCCTTTTGTAGATTTTTTGGGATTCTGTAAAAAAAAACCATATTTACAAGCCGTGTTTAACTTCTGTGAATCAGTATATTCGGTACCAGGTCAAATAACCCTATTATTGAACACTCTGTGACAGGAACGCTCAAAACGCGTCTTTTGTCTTTTAGCGGTACAGGGTTGGAACTGCGTGCAAGTTGGAAATTCGCAAGTTGCCAGCTATACATATGATGATGACCTGTCTTAAAGATATCAGACGTGTTGCATGCTGAATAATGCGACGTATAAGAAATACCTGTTCGAAGAGAGTAATGGTTTTAGTTTCCTTATACTTCCATCGATGGTGTAGTATGTTTGCGTGTGTAGATTTGTTCTGTTTCCCAGGATTGGGTGAGATTAGATTACGACCGGAGCGTCTTCATTAGATCACCATATAAAAGATGTATTTTTTCGTACTTTAAAACCTAGTATAGTTTGATTGTTTTGGTGAAAGTGAATACCACATCCATGCCTATTTTGTGACATAACGATAGGACTTGGAACTGTACAAAATGATTTAAAACCAGGGAGGTGTTTATCAACAATTGTATGATTGCAGAGGATAAAAATTCCAAAGTGAAAACGATATTTCTTATATGAAAAATTCATCAGATTTGATTCACGTGATTTAATAAATGTAATCTGTTCCAATAGTTTTTTCTTAATTAATTTAAAGTATTTCGACTGAATACGTCAAGGAATAACTCTTTGTGCTGAAAAAAAATGCTGAAGGACTTTGCTAATTTGAAAGCTGAGTTTGTTATAACTAATTGGTTTAGTTGACATGAGATAGTCGTTTGTGTGTATCATTAAGTGAATTTGATTGGTGTCCGGAATTTGATCAGCAATCTCAAAAAGAAACTTTTTGAACGTCTAAATTCGTGAACCTGATTTTTTAATTTTGACCACGTGAAATTTCTTGAACGAAATGAGAAAAGAATTATCATTTTGTAAAGGAATATTATGAGTAACGGAAGGAAGTCTGGGAGAAGAATTATCTTCATGAAGGGTGTCGTTATGTCGTTACAAGGAAGGTAATCTTCATAATGGTCACTATTGACTTGATAGTCATTACAATATTTGAAACCATGATAGGTGTTAGAGGAGAAGTCTATGTCAATATGACAAACGACATTTTTGTTTTGAGAAGAAGTAGACATAGTCCCTTGAGTTTGGGTATAATAAGAACGAAAAACCTCGTATGCGACAGAGGCGCCCGCTAGGGCCTCCTCCCCCTTGAAGTTTTCTTAGAAAACTGAAAATGAGAAACTTAACGCTTTTACTGCGGAATACTAACAAAATAAAAAAAGGGGAAAGAGTTTTTTTTGTGGAACCCGATGTCTAATGTAGGTCATTATTTTTTATACGGCCAGAAATACAGATCACGTGGTAGTGGATCTACAAATATTTGATCAGCTGGTCTGTTGTGTTCGGAAATTCGGAATAACTAGCTCCGAAAATTATATAAATTTTTTTTTCTTGTTTAAACTAGAGTAACTTGGTAATTATTAGTGAGTTATAATCATTATACTGTCAGATTGACTCGAAAATTTTGGGTCGGGTCATCAAACGTTTTTATAATTAAATATAAAAAAAATTGATTTTTTTATTAAAAACGTCAGACTTGACGTTTTTGTAATTAAAAAAACAAAAAAATGACTTTT